CACTCAATTTTAATAAATCAATTTTGAATTGCAACTTGCATTATTCGTATACCGGGCCATTGACCAAACAAAAGGGAATTTATCGAACTGGGGGGCACTTTTCGAAAAACGACAGGTAGAGGGTTTTAGGTGCGCCCTTGGGCCTCCACGGCGCCCTTATCCTCCGCGTGCAAAACTCACTCAATTTTAATAAATCAATTTTGAATTGCAACTTGCATTATTCGTATACCGGACCGTTGACCAAACAAAAGGGAATTTTTCGAACTGTGGGGCACTTTTCGAAAAACGACAGGTGGGGGGTTTTAGGTGCGCCCTTGGGCCTCCACGGCGCCCTTATCCTCCGCGTGCAAAACTCGCTCAATTTTAATAAATCAATTTTGAATTGCAACTTGCAATATTCGTATACCGGGCCATTGACCAAACAAAAGGGAATTTTTCGAACTGTGGGGCACTTTTCGAAAAACGACAGGTGGGGGGTTTTAGGTGCGCCCTTATCCTCCGCGTGCAAAACTCACTCAATTTTAATAAATCAATTTTGAATTGCAACTTGCATTATTCGTATACCGGGCCATTGACCAAACAAGAGGGAATTTTTCGAAATGTGGGGCACTTTTCGAAAAACGACAGGTAGGGGGTTTTAGGTGGGCCCTTGGCCCTCCACGGCGCCCTTATCCTCCGCGTTCAAAACTCACTCAATTTTAATAAATCAATTTTGAATTGCGACTTGCATTATTCGTATACCGGGCCATTGACCAAACAAGAGGGAATTTTTCGAACTGGGGGGCACTTTTCGAAAAACGACAGGTAGAGGGTTTTAGGTGCGCCCTTGGGCCTCCACGGTGCCCTTATCCTCCGCGTGCAAAACTCACTCAATTTTAATAAATCAATTTTGAATTGCAACTTGCATTATTCGTATACCGGGCCATTGACCAAACAAAAGGGAATTTATCGAACTGGGGGGCACTTTTCGAAAAACGACAGGTAGAGGGTTTTAGGTGCGCCCTTGGGCCTCCACGGCGCCCTTATCCTCCGCGTGCAAAACTCACTCAATTTTAATAAATCAATTTTGAATTGCAACTTGCATTATTCGTATACCGGGCCATTGACCAAACAAAAGGGAATTTTTCGAACTGTGGGGCACTTTTCGAAAAACGACAGGTAGGGGGTTTTAGGTGGCCCCTTGGCCCTCCACAGCGCCCTTATCCTCCGCGTGCAAAACTCACTCAATTTTAATAAATTAATTTTGAATTGCAACTTGCATTATTCGTATACCGGACCGTTGACCAAACAAAAGGGAATTTTTCGAACTGTGGGGCACTTTTCGAAAAACGACAGGTGGGGGGTTTTAGGTGCGCCCTTGGGCCTCCACGGCGCCCTTATCCTCCGCGTGCAAAACTCGCTCAATTTTAATAAATCAATTTTGAATTGCAACTTGCAATATTCGTATACCGGGCCATTGACCAAACAAAAGGGAATTTTTCGAACTGTGGGGCACTTTTCGAAAAACGACAGGTGGGGGGTTTTAGGTGCGCCCTTATCCTCCGCGTGCAAAACTCACTCAATTTTAATAAATCAATTTTGAATTGCAACTTGCATTATTCGTATACCGGGCCATTGACCAAA